CTGGAGCTTGTGAGTAATTTTGATTCATAAACATTTAAATATAACAGAATCCCAGCATTGGTTTCTAACCTTAAAAAATATATACACCTTTTGAGAAGTATTCTAATCAGCACCTTATAAATAAAGGTCATGTTGTCCATTCTGTAAGTGTCAGCTGTGGCACACATGGTAGCATTCCCAATCCAAGTCAAAAGCTTCTTGTTTAAGACTCATTTCAGGATTTCAGCATAGAAATCAAATCTAGAACTCCAGAGTTATCACTGGAATCCTGGGGCCAATACTTATAAGCCCAAAAACAGATCCTCTGACAATAACAATTATCATTATATTGCTGTTTTTGGGTCCTTGCTCCATACAAATTGGCACTGTGCTTCCTACATGACAACAGTGACCCACACTTCAAAACTGTAATACGAGCATGCCATCATCTTCCTTTTCTAATTTGGTCTACTTGGTCTACAGATGTAGAGAAGAACCGGTAGGGAGTCTAAGAAGAAGAAATTCTTGTTTTAAATAGGGTACAGCTCATTACATGATAGCAACCAGGTACAAGGTACACTATTAAGACAGATATTATTACAAAGTCATAAAAGGTCATAAAAGGCACAATATAAGTGCAAATTGTTCTCTTGCTGCGACTATCTCTAAGGTAGATTCACCTGTACAAGATCAGTGTGTAAATTGGGGTTCCAGGGGAAAGTAAAATATTTTGGTCTGGAATCCTGCATTAATGGTTTAGTGCTGAAACTCCACAAAAATGGGGACTCTGATACACTATGGGGGTGAGTTTCCATAGGGGTTATTGCTTGTCCACTAATAGTGTGGGGGAGAAAGGACTGTTAAACTGTAAATATGGCTACTCTATCTTTCTAGAATACTTCCAAATAGGTCATACTGCATCAAAACGTGAACAGTGTCCCACCCTCAGAAGCTGGCTGCCAAGCTTGCTGAGTTTCTGTTTTAACTTCAGCTGTCCAGCATCCACAGTACTTTTGTCTTTTTTTTTCTGAGCTTTACCATGGGTCTTGCACTAAGGCTATAATGAAGAAGGGAAGCAATACAGGCCAGCTGCTGTGTACGGCAGCACAGTAGAAACAGTAGCAACTGCTTCTATGTTCACATCCCAGGCCCAGGATCATTCAGGGACCTAGGTCACTAGTGATTGATAGTGGGATGGAAGTACATGAGGATTGTGGTTAGGGAGGGCTCAGGAGTCAGGTACCAAGTGCCTCTCAATGAGAGAACACGCCCATGTACCCCAGGCCCCACCAAAAGCCAAAAAGCAACTCTGACACAAGAGAGAGAAAATTTTCTGAAGAAGGGTCTAGGCCCGAAATGTCAGCTTTCCTGCTCCTTGATGCTGCTTGGCCTGCTGTGTTCATCCAGCTCTACACCTTGTTATCTCAGATTCTCCAGCATCTGCAGTTCCTACTAACTCTGACACAATGTAGTTTTCAGCTTCCCAAATGGTGAATCTCCCTCTGGTTGAACATCTACAGCAAGGATAGATTCTGAAATCGGTGCTAACTGCCCACTTAGGGACCTCAATTGCTGGCATGGTGGAAAGTATGTTCAAGAGTATCACATCCCAGATTTAACTTGGGCAAAAGCAATAACATGGCAGAGTTCCCACCCACCACCTTCTGGTCTGATGAAATGCCCCCTCCACCAAACACAACATAAAGGAGGACATTGAGTTATACTCAGAGTTTCTGCATTAACCAACAGTTACGTCAAATATATCGTGTCTTTTTGTGCTAATTTTGGACTAAGCATGTGTTTGATCACAATATAAAAACACTGACTGAAATTCAAAACAAATGTCTATCCTAATAATACTTTGTTTGACCATTGTATGCAGTGGATAGAGGTACAGGCTTTATCCAAAATTGGATCTACTATGTCAATTTAGCACACATATACTATATGAAGATCAATTGGACTCTAAACAATTTCAATGGAAAGTTGATTTTACCATCTTGATAAGGTAACTTCATAATTTTATTGTTGACTTCTATCATGTCTTGCTTCGAAATTATGATTTTTGTCTGTGGAAAAGAATAGAACACTTAAATAATAGTTTGGAAGGTTATCTTGAAGTGATATATTTAAATACAACTCAACATTGACAACGAATACATTATCTAACAAACTGAACATGGAGTTTATGCTTAACATAATTGTTCAGCTACATCTCATCAATGTACAATGTCATCAAAATAAACCAAATAAAACTGCAGACACATTAATGACAATAACATATAATCGGACGCAAAATGTTTGACTTGCTGAAGGTATCAAACTGGCATTGTGGATCAGCTGACTCTTAAAGAAACTGTCCCACGTTAATTTTCATGGAAATAAAAATAATATGACTTCTAGGCAGTCAATCCACAAAGTCAGTTTTGTTCCCAGGTAGCGAGTTGAAAATTCACCCTATGAAATGAACAGAGCAAAGGAAGAACGGATTATTATAAAGCAGGCACTACAGAAATTAGTGATATACAAAATGCTTAAATTACCACAGGTGCTAAAAATCTTAAACAAAAGTAGTAAAAATTGGAATCACTCAGTGGGTGACATAGAATTTTCCAAATGGAGTTCTTCATTACAACAGAACAGCAAGGTTCTCAGATACCAAATACATATGACCTGTTGAATCTTACCAATATTTTCTTTGATCATTTTATCAGTTGTAATGCTACAATGATCCGTTTTCAAGATAAATTCAGTTCATCTTGGCAAAATATAATGATGGCGTAGGCCTTAGATTTCACAATTTAGATAAATACTTTGGAACGATTTTTATTGCAAGAGTAGGGAGGTTATGCTTTAGCTATAGAACATATCTGGAGTACTATATATACAGTATAGATATCCCTACTTAAAGAATTTGCAAGAAGTTTAGAGAAACTTTATAGACTAATACCTGGAATGGACAGATTGGGCCAGCTAGACTTGAATCCGCTAGAGTTTAGAAGAATAAGAGGCAACATGATTGAAACAGGTAAGATCCTGAGGGAACCTGATTGTGTTCATGAGAATACGATGTTTTTCCTTGTGTGAAAATCTAGAACTGGGGTTCACTGTTTAAAAGTAAGGGGTTGCCCATTTAAGATAGAGATAACAAAGTTTTATTTCTTCCAGTCAAGAGTCTTTGAAACACTCTGTTACACCGCTTTTTGAGTCAGAATCTTTCAATATTTTCAAGACAGAGGTAGTAGAGTCTTGATAAACTGAGGGATGTGAAAGGTTCTTGGACGAAAGTGAGAATTTTGAGTAATCAGATCAGCCATGGTCTTCCTGAATGGCAAAACAAGCTTGAGGAGCCGGATGGCCTACTCATGCTCCAAATGTTCATATAAATGAAAACTGATCACAGTTATGTGTACCACTTATAAATAGAGGAAGGTGGTCTGCTACTGTACAAACCTAAACAGATAAAGGAAATTGCTCACTGGTCTGCAAGTGTCATTGAAATTTTGAATGATCCAAAAGAGCTAGGTGGTTTGTCATTTGCCATCTCCCGGTGAAGGTTTAAATGAAGTAAAAAGGATTAATAAGTTCTATTTAAACTTCATGCTCCGAATGTACAAAGTCTGCTGTAATTAATGTACAGCAATCAGTGTAAGGTCACATTTCAAGGCATATTTTCTGTCAATGGCAATCTGCCTCATCAATGACTAAACAGTGGTAGACTCTTCTGCATCACTTTCAAATATAAATTCAGGAGGTTTGGTAAATTGACTAGTTAATGTAGGGGAAACCTTTCTTGAATAGATCAAGATTTTGGATACTTAACCAAACAACACATGCATTTGTTGGCACTCTTTACTGATTTACTTTTTGTGGTAAATAAGAACAAAGACAGAAGAAGTGACTGTAAATTAAGGAATGATAGCTAACATCAATCTGGAAGAATTCAGAACAGCAAAGAAAGAAATACAAAACAGCAAGGCAGTAAAATCAGATTGGATGTTCATACTGAGCAAGCAGATTTGGAAACCGTTTCGTAAAGCTTCTGTGCTCTGTTCGCGACAAATAACAACACCTTCCGATTGCCAGCCATTTTAACTCCACCTCCCACTCCCTGGGTGGCATGTCCATCCTAAGTCTCCTCCAGTGTCACAATGATACCACCCGCAAACTAGAGGAGCAACACCTCATATTCCGCCTCGGGAGCCTACAGCCCGATGGCCTAAACATAGAATTCACCAGTTTTAAAATCTTCTCACTCCTCGGCCTCATCCCATGTCCAACCCTCCCTCTCATGCCCACCTCCTTGACCTGACACAACCTGTCCATTTTCTCTCCCACCTATCCGCTCCTCCCACCTCACTGACCAATCCCCAGCCCTCCCCACCTGCACTCACTTGTCACCATCCCACCTACCTTCCCCAGCCCCACCACTCCGCTCTCTATTTATTTCCAAGCTTCCTTCTCCCTCCCCATTTCTAAAGAAGGGACCTGTCCCAAAACGTCAACTTTCCTGCTCCTCTGATGCTGCCTGGCGTGCTGTGTTCTTCTAGCTCTATACTGTGTTGTCTGTAAAATTGAGCAACCTTTTTTCGACACAGCGTGAGAGACAATGGTTTACAATGAGGACTTGACTAATCTATGTCAAATAAGTAATAATAAATTAACTTTTCCTCACCAAGTACTCTCAGTTGAATGGTATTGTGTTGCACCAGGATAACGTTGACAAATAGAAGCGCAGTAAAATTAACAAGATATCTGAAACCATGTAACAGGGACAATGTTCAGCAACTGGAAAGCATTGAAAAGAGGTTTCTGCAGTAGCTTGAGCCATGTACAAATGTAGATTAAATCAGAATGCTACACTATAGTGATTTCTTTTTACGACAGAAGAAAAACAGGAAAGCTTATTTACTTGTAAGACATTTTTGCTTTTAAGTGGGAATATTTGCCAGGGCATTCACGAAACCCGGTATGTGATACTCACCTAGAGGTAGTAAGAACGGCCGATGCTGGATACTCACCTGATTGGTAGCATAGATGATGCTTGTTAGCTGTGTTTCTGAATATCTAACACCAGATTTATCAAACACTGCTTCGATGGTACCTGAATCTAGCATCTTAACACTCTGCAGCACAAAAAAAAAGTAATTAGTAACTCACAACCAGATGGATAAAATTGTTTAAAACTAACTTTCCGCCAACATATATGTTCACTATAAGCTATTCTTTAGATGACCTATTCACTAAATTAACTCAAAAGGTTTCATTTAAACCTATTGTAGCTTCTATATTACAATAATAGATGTGGCAAATCCTCACTGGAAGTCGTTATTGCTTTCCTGAAAATCACAACTTTAAGGTCAATAACTTTTACTAAATCATGGATTCCCAGGTAAGTCAAAGTTCTCATTGCAATTAGGTTCCTTCATACATTTCTTGCGTTGAAAAAGTGCACAGGTTTAATTCCTGATCATGTGTATTCCTCCCTGAAATAACTTGCAAAATAAGATATATCACAAAACATAAAAAGGAACATGGTACTTCAAGACCTTTCACAGCAGCAAACGATTCTAAAACATTAAGTTGAAATGGTGTATATTCCTAAATACCAAGATTCATAAACTATTTCTAAAATCTTTATTTCTAAAATTTCGAACATCAATTGTTTTAGAATATAGAAAAAATACAATAAAAATGTAAGTATTGTAAATACATGTTAAAATCACTGACCTGATGAAGTTTTAATTGATCAAGCCCCATATTGTGGTAGAAACTAGTCAATGCAGGCAGAACTGCCTGCAATGACTAAGCTCAGCCACTATGTAGAGCCCAGGACTTCAATGCAAGTGTGAAATGGAAGCCAGGAAATGAGCAGACAGCACAGATTTTAAAGATAAGAAAAAAAGGGCAGAATCAAGAGCAGGAGGGTGGTGGTACTGGGGCAGTGGGGAAGAGGGACTGAGGGCCAGGGCTAGGGCAGGGATCAGAAGAAGGACAAGTGACTCCAGATCCACAACAATGAGCTTGATTCTTAACTGTCTCATAAAAGAATAATGGAAATGAATCATTAATCTCAAATATCACCCTATCACCTTCATCTCTACATAGTCCACTCTTTAACACTTACTTAGAAATACAATTGTGTTCCTGTTCAATATCCTTAACATAGTCCCTCAGCTTTTCTGTTGGGCAGTCTTGGTCAGGACCACCCCACCTCGGTTCAGCGCTGGGCACCACTTCTCAGAAAGGATATTCTTAGTCTTGGAGGGAATGCATCACAGATTCAACAAAATTATACCAACGATTAGGAGGATAAATTATGTTAATAGCTTGATTAAGCATGGCTCCTATTTACTTGAATTTAGATGTTGGTGTTGATGTTAAAAAGATGATTCATAGGTGGTAAATTCAGATAAGGTATTTATTCTGATGGAAAAAAAAATCAAAAATTTCAAATTATAGCGAGGTAATTCAGGAGTGTAATCAAAAGACGCTTATTTACACAAAGCAATCTGGAATTCATTCTTGCAAAGGGCTGTGGATGCTTTTGAGATAGGGTAATAGATTTTCATTTGATAAGAGTATCAAGGGATATGGAATGCGAAGAGTAAATAGAGCTAAGTTACAGACAGCCATGTTTGATCTGAATAGCAAATCAAGTTCAAGGAATTTGAAACGTGTATTTCTGTCCTTATACAACTATTCTCCCTTTTTGTTTCCATTTTGTAAACAAAACAGGATCTTGTCCAAAGTGAACCGATTTTATTTGAGTATGTTAGAAGTAATAGTTCAGGCATTTATTGAGCAGACCTGTGACCAGCAGCTACATTGATGTCTGTGGCACTCAAGTTAAAAACTGTAAATATCAATATCCATTCCTTCCCCCTTGGTAGTCATTCTCACTGTTTCTGTTCAGAAATCTAAATAGCATGAAAAAAAGCAAACATCCCTAGTCAACATCACTAAGATGATTTCAATCTGGTTTACAACATGTCTTAATATCTCCACTGATTAAATTTAAGATATTCACAAATCAAAAATGACAGTGTTGGTTCTTGAGTAAAGGATTAATACAATAGTACACTGGAAGTGGAATGGAGGGGAGAAGTAAGAGATTTATCCTTTTTAAGAAATAGTACTGCAAAAGCATTATGATCACGATTTTGAGTAAAACCTGTAGTCGATGAATTTCCAAAGGTTCGGTTCACCTGCAAAAACCTTGGGATATTTGCCAATTTTCAATAATTTTTCTGCTCAAGTTACTGTGAAGAGGCACCATTTAACAATTTTTTAAAATTACAATAATAACAAACATCAGGCCCAAAAGCACATTATTTTACCAAACATTAATGCTCCAAAAATAAACAGAAAGGAAAAATAATGCATCAATTAGAAACAGGACTGATTCTTACTATTTTTTGGTTGTGTGAGTCCTGCTGAGTTTCCTGGAGGGTTTCTCACTGCGAAGCCTAGTGGGGTTTCTCCCCATATCTGACCATACTAAGCTCATTAACTACCTAACCTTCTTGCCTGATTTTAGCCCCATCCTAGCACCACCCTACCACTCATCATTCCCAGAACAACTTGTCACTTACCAGATATCCGCCAAAAGACTAGCATCTCTGGTACCCACTCCAACTTAAAAAACCACTGTACATCTGGCCAAGTATTGGCATTTCAGCATTGCCCCTTGCCGACAAACATAATTGCAGAGCAGCCACAAAGCCACGCTGCCCACAGCACATGGTCAACATGGCTGACACTTCCTCGCACATACAACCATATTCCCTCACTTTAGTCTCCACTTAACTTCTAGGCGACACAGTTCTCCTGTCCTTAGCTACTTCCCATCATTTTTTATTCACTAGTGGGATGTGGATATCGCTGGATGGCTAGTATTTATTGCCTGCACCTAGTTACCCTTGAGAAGGTGGTGGTGAGCTACCTTCTTGATCTACTGCAGTCCATTGGTGAAAGATGGACCCACAATGCCCTTTGGGAGAGAAATCTGGATTTTCACCTAATGACAGTGAAGGAATGATAATATACTTCCAAGTCAGGACAGTGAGTGGCTTGGAGGGGAACTTACAGGTGATGATGTTCCCATGTTTGTATCTGCTACCCTTGCCCTTCTACACAGAAGTAGTTGTGGGTTTTGAAGCTGTTCTCTAAGGAACTTTGGCAAATGTTTGCAGTGCATTCTGTGTATAGTATGCACTACTACTACTGAGTATCACTTGTGGAGGGAGTGCAAATTTGTGGATGTGATGCTAGTTAAGTGGGACGCTTTGTTCTTAATGATGTCAAGCTTCAAACACACTGTCTAAGTCACCAGTACCCTCTGTAGCCTTGCATTTTGTCATTGTCCATTAAGAGAATATCTCATAAAGACAATCAGTCAATTCCAAGAATGAGCTTTCATTTATAGCCAGCAATAACAAACACAACCAAACAAATAGAGGTACAGTTCACACCCAGCTCTCACCTATCAATTTGAAGCGGGTGACCTGCCAGATCCTGTGCGACTTATAGTGCCTGATGCAGCTGAGCCCTGTCATTCGCAAGGAGAGCTTCATCCTCTAACTCCTCTTACTTTCTTCAGTTCAAAGCGATCGCCCTGGGAACCCACATGAACCCCAATGATGCCTGTCTCTTTGTGGGATACGTGGAACATGCCTTGTTCCAGTTCTACTCTGATCCCTCCTCACAACATCTTTCTCTGGTACATTGATGACATCATCAGTGCTGGCTGTCTCTCTCATCTGGAATTGGAAAAGTCTGTCAATTTCGCTTCCAATTTCCATCCTTCTCTCACTTCACCCGGTCCACCTCTGACTCCTCTTTTCCCTTCCTTGACACAGGCTGGCCACTGACATCCATTACAAACCCACCAGCTCCCAGTTATCTAGACTATACATCCTCACGCCCTGCTTCCTATAAAGACACTATTCCATTCTAAATAAAAACCAAAAGAACTGCGGATGCTGTAAATCAGAAACAAAAACAAAGTTGCTGGAAAAGCTCAGCAGGTCTGGCAGCATCTGTGGAGGAGAAAACGGAGTTAACGTTTCGGGTCCAGTGACCCTTCCTCAGAACTGATGGTGGCTGGGAAAACGTCAGTTTATATGCAGAAAATAGGGAGGTGGGTGGGGTAGGGAGTAAACGATAAGATAGAGCCGAAAGAGAGGGAAAAACAGTTGGACAGACAAAGGAGTTGCTAACGATCAGGCTGGGAGGGTGAATAGTTGTTAATGGGGACTGTTAGTGACTAACAACAGGGGGTGTGTAGTGGCAGGCTATGTGGTAACAAGGCCTGGTGTGTGGGGTGGGGGGCTGGGACATGGGAGAGTTTAGGCCCTAAAATTATTGAACTCAATATTGATTTTGGAGGGCTGTAGGGTCCCCAAGCAGAAAATGAGGTGTTGTTCCTCCAGTTTGCGTTGGGCTTCACTCTAACACTGTAGCAAGCTGGAGACAGAAATGTTGGCCAGGGAGCAGGATGGTGTATTGAAGTGGCAGGCAACAGGTAGTTCAGGGTCTTTTTTGCAAGCAGAACGCAGATGTTCTGCAAAGTGATCGCCAAGTCTACGCTTCGTTTCCCCAATGTAGAGGAGATCACAATATGAGCAGCGAATGCAGTCGACTAGATTCTTGGAAGTGCAGGTGAAGTGTTGCTTCACGTGGAAGGTATGTTTGGGCCCTTGAATACTGGGGAGGGAGGAGGTAAATGGGCAGGTATTGCACTTTCGCCTGTTACAGGGGAAGGTGCCGTAGGGCTGTGGGGAGGTGTTGGGGGTGAAGGAAGTGTGGACCAGGGTGTCCCAGAGGGAACGATCCCTGCGGAAGGTGGACAAGGGAGGGGAGGGGAATATGCATCTGGTTGTTGTATCTTGCTGGAGGTGGCGGAAATGGTGTCTGATGATCTTCTGGATGTGGATGCTAGTGGGACGGTAGGTGAGGATAAGGGGAACCCTATCGCTGTTGCGGGAGGGAAGAGAAGGGGTGAGGGCAGAAGTGCGGGAGATGGGTCGGACCCGATTGAGGGCCCTGTCGACAACGGAGCTGGGGAATCCTCGGTTGAGGAAGAATGTGGACATTTCGGAGGCTCCCTGGTCGAAGTTGGCCT